GTTTACTTCACCTGTAATGAACTAAATTAAACTTAGCGTTCTCACATGCTCCAAAAAAAGTGATATAAAACGATGTTATAAGCCAATGTGCGAAATGAGAATAACAGCGAGAAGATCAAGAAAATCAGTGAACGAAAGGATAATTTATAACGCAGTGTATAATAAGACGAATCAAGAACTGAGACGCGAAAACCAAACCTGTCTTCCGCACCCGTCTCTCCTAGAATACTCATCCTTTCTCTCTTTGTCCTCTACGAAACGATGCAAATCGATTCAATACTTCTATTTTAATATCATTAAAACATTATTTTACATACCTAATCTAAAAAATATTCCTACGCCTATGTTATGCGGCTAAATTGAAAGAATTTTTTTACCAGTTGTTTTTATACTGTTCCAACTGACTTTAGACAAACTATACCTATGATCAATAGAATCATCACTCAAACATCAAAATTCTCCATCCTACCAGTTTTAAAAAACATTTAAAAAATGTTTTGCTTAGCGGGTTCTTTAGCAACGTGCAACTGTAATATGGTTTTCTTCCTGTTAGAACATCTATATTCAATAATCTTTCATAAATAAATCCTTAATTAGTATTTATTGGTACTAGTCATTTTCAAATCATTATAAATATTTAATGGTACGACTCGCATAGCCAAACTTCCGAGTCTAATAATATTATTTGTTTTTTATATTTGGAATAAATAAATGTACAGGTATATCAAACTATTTATTGGGATTAAAATAAGACAATATTTTTATATTTTTTTCTTATAAGTAACAAAATTCTATCATTTTTCCTAATCAAAATCCAAATCAGAAGTACTTGAATCGCTGTCATTGCTGTTATCGCTGTCAGGGTTAATAATTATAATATGAATAATTTTCAATCTATCAAAACCTTTCTCCCTACTTGGGGAGTAATTGTTCAAAGAGCTTTAGACGACATATTTAAAGAAATTTTTTATTATCATCTCTGCTAATATTTTTATTATAACATTTCTTGGAACGGCCCCAAATAAATTCAATGGGGTTAAAAACACAATTGTAGGGAGGAAGACGTAGCACTTTATTTCTGCAAAAAAAAACAAAAATTACATTTTTGGTTTTCACTGTACAACTCGAGAACGTGAAAAATATATTGATTTTTATTGACCTTTATAATGTTTTCCAAAATGGTAAAATTTTCCAATTTAATTGTGTTCGTAAGATTTGCTATAATAATAGCGTATCTACCATTAAATCTTCAATATGATATGTCGTTTCGATATTACAGTTTGAATATAGCGATGTTGGCTCATGTTAAGAGAAATAAACAAGTTTTAGTACTTTAATGCAAGAAAATCATGATTGCTAATACTTTTATTTACTTCAAATACTCTTGCCATCGATTTGTCATCATTTTGATAGGAGTGGTTTATTGTTCGTTTTTAAAAGATACATGTTTCATTAATGAAAACGACCTGACTTAAAGCTGTTTCTTCTGCAATTCTATTGTCTTGGTAGTTGGCAGTAGAAATATTTAGGTTAAGGACTGCTGCAAAACGATAAAACAGAACAAAATCAATTTCATATTTCTATACATGTCTGTAATTTTTAACTTACTTCTCATACACTTACGAGTACAGCAGTAGAAGCTAATAGTGGTTCATCATGATTATATACGCTCTCGTTCAATGTGCTCCTTACAACAACTATTTAGTTTTTTTGGCATTTTGTATGTAGGAATAAAAGACAATAATCTGCTGTTACTCACACTTTGTTTTAAAAATCAATTTTTAAACATAACCTTAAATAGTGCAGGGCATAGTGGCGCATTCGTTTGCAAAATTGTTTTAATTCGTAATTTTTTTAAAATATCCGGATGGCTTTCCTGATTATAAAAGTGTAAGATGACACTCGATATTTGTTGATGTTATTGTCTAAACAACGAAAAATTAATTAAGCCAAAAAAATGCATTTTTTGCAACGAATTAATTTTTTTTATATTATTTAGGATATTTTGAATAAAAAAGTCCTTACGCTCATCATCGTATCTTTAACCCTTTAATTGTTATGAATTTTTTAAAATCCGAAATTGACGAAAATTCTAATTTTCTTGAATTAAATAATATACCTTAAAATTTAAAATGCTATAATTTTAAATTTTTTACCGTATATTCAAACTATAATAAACAAAATAACCTAAATAAATTTTCAAAATTTTGTTTGTTGTTGTTTTTTTTTACGTTATAACAATATGCTTCCTACGCGCGTGTACTTTTAGAGAGAAGTACTTCTATCTCACTTCCAACTCAATGTATAAGATGGGTAAGAGAAAGCCCGATGACGCGCTGAATCAATTTTTTGCTGTTTTTCAGAGGTAATAAGTTTAAAAAAAATATTATATTTTTCATAACACTTTGTTATATTTGTCGATTAATAGTTTTGTATCATGTGATTTTTTTTATTTTTTTAGATACTTTTGATAACTTTTTTATTTATTAAAGTTAACAGAAACATTTATTTTTAACATTTTTATTTATGAAAAAATTATTGTCAGATACTGCCTGAGAAATAAAATCTTCTTCAACCTTTTTTTTTTCAATACGATAAAAAGGCCAAATGCACTTGTCGTGATCCGTGAAAAATTTAAACCTGTTACAATGAACATATTAGGCTTACTGGGGTTATAAAATTTTATGATTTCAAAAATATCCAAGCCTTTCTCAATTTAACAAAAATAAGGAAAAAATATTTTTCCATGCACGTCGGATGCTTTGAAATTGCATACTTTACGAGCTTTGTTTCAGACTTATATTTGGAGGAATTCAAATCAATTTCAATATGAACCTTTAGATTTCTCTGGTTTTGGTTATATTTTCTGTGATAACCAAATAAAGCCAATGTATTTAACAAAACCGTCGTTACCTAACGACTTAGCAAAACCGTGCAACTGTAAAAATAATTGTGTAACGAAAGCTGGTTCGTGTCAAAAACTAAACAAGACCTGTGTGGCATTATGCGGATGTTTAATTGAATGTTGCCAAAATCAATTTCATGTAAAAACTAGTTAGATGTACAAACTATAATTTTATGTAAAAATTTTCTTAATAAATGAATATTACTATTAAATAATCATAGTGGAGAAGAATTAACAACCATAGAAAAAATTGAATACATATATATTGCGTACTCAATTTTAAAATAAAAACCAGGTGAGTCAACTATGCTCATCGTAACAGGTAGAAATTTCCCTTGAATTGCGGCAGGTATGTTTGTCTTCTTTTATCTTTTTGGAAAAAAAGTGAGAAAAATTTATTTTAGACAGCTCATGGCAATGATTTTTTTTTGTGGATGGAACATTTCTATTAACTTCAATGAATAAAAAAGTTATCGAAAGTATCTAAAAAAGTAAAAAAAACACACGATACAAAACTATTAATCGGCAAATATAACAAAGTGTTATGAAAAATGTTAATATTTTTTTTAAACTTATTACCGCTGAAAAACAGCAAAAAATTGATTTAGCGCGTCATCGGGCTTTCTCTTACCCATCTTATACATTAAGTTGGAAGTGAGATAGAAGTACTTCTCTCTAAAAGTACACGCGCGTAGGAAGCATATTGTTATAACGTAAAAAAAACATAACAACAAACAAAATTTTTAAAATTTATTTAGGTAATTTTGTTTATTATGATTTGAATATTAGGTAAAAATTTTTTTAAGGTATATTATTTAATTCAAGAAAATTAGAATTTTCGTCAATTTTGGATTAAAAAAAAATCATAACAGTTAAAGGGTTGAAGATACGATGATGGGCGTAAGGACTCTTTTTATTCGAAATATCCTAAAGAATATAAAAAAAATTAATTCATTGCAAAAAATGCATTTTTTCTGGCTTAATTAATTTTTCGTTGTTTAAACAATAACATCAACAGATATCGAGTGTCATCTTACACTTATAATAATCAGGAAAGCCTTCCGGACATTTAAAAAAATTACGAATTAAAACAATTTTGCAAACGAATGCGCCAGCATGCTCTGGTCTAAAACCTAAATCAGTGAAATTTTTTAAAAAGCTATTAGCAATACAGCGTTTAAGATATGCCAATTGCCGCAATTGAATTTATTCTCTAAAAATACGAGTTTTATGGGCGTACTGTCAAATGGTTTTTTGAATACTAAATATGTAATAATATTTTCATAAATTTTATATTATCAAGAATAAGACGTATATAATCTAAATAATTAAAGTAATTCTACAATTATCAAAATAATCACCAATACATTTTCGGTTTTTTAGTAATATGACTACGTTTATGAATGCTCGTGAATATTCGTGACATTTTTGGAGTAGTACTATGACGAAAGACTAACGTCACTATTGAAAATACTATATTATGCAAAATTTCAGCCCAATTGGTTGGGGAAAATTGTTTTAAAATTCAGTTGCAAGATTTGACCTAAACAAAAATACAAACATTAGTGTAAGTCAAATAAAAGCTTGTGAAGATTTTTAAAATTAAAAATGTTAAAAGTATTTATTAGGGGAGACCGGGGTTAGTTGTTACAGGGGTAAGTTGTTACAGCAGCTTTTACTGCCACCGTATAGATGGCAACAGCGCCGCGACAAGTGCGTTTTAGCAGTCATTGCGTCAGCTTTGTCGTCTCATACTTTGATTTAGTTCCCTTCAGATTCGTAAGCATGTTGATAATTAATGTGTTTTTTAAAAGTAAATTATTATATTGAAAACTATTCTTTTATACATTTTTGTGTGTTAGTGAAAATAATTTGATTAGGACATCAGTGCAAACTATCAGGTATGTTCTTCCATAAACCGCTATTTTTATTTGGTTATTTACCATATCTAAAAAACTATCATAGAAATATTAGCCAAATGTCCGATGGGATTAGTCGTGACACTTCCTATGGGACAGGTTGTTACTGTAACAACTTACCCCATAGTAAATTTTACAATGTGCATTTACCATAAAAAATTGTTTTAAGAAGGATAATGAGGACCTATAAACGTAAAACTGAGAGAGGAAGACCGTTTTTGAACGAGCAGCAAATGAGGTTCTTGTTAACGGAAAGTCTTTGCGGACAGTCGCTGCTGACTGAAATAAACTTGATGAATTACAGCGATTCTGTTAGATACAGCAACAGAGAGAAAATGAGGGTAAGTTTATTATGATACAATTTGATTGAGCTGATTTGATTGACCAAAGTAGGCCAACCTCCCAGCGCACCGTCTTGGCCAGTCTTTTTAGTCGGCCGTGAATATACAGCTATTACAAAAACCTTTTCTTTTTAGGATCGGATCGACCTGCCCATGTAGGATATAAACGAACTCACCAGGTGTTGCCAGACGAAATGAAATCTGAATTAGCTTAGTATCTGTTGGAGCAGTCAAAACTATATTTTGGATTATCAACAAAAGAAATTCGTAGATTGGCGTTTGAGTTTGCCATTAAGTCCAAACTGGACTGCAAATCAAATGGCATCCGTAGACTGGTTGACAAATTTTCTTAAACGCCATCTAAGGCTATCCCTCAGGGTTCCCGAAGCGACTAGCCTGAGTCGAGCTACAAGCTTCAACCAGACAAATGTTGCTGCGTTTTTCAATCTACTGGAAGAAGTTGTAGATCGATACAAATTTAAACCTCAGAACATGTATAATTCTGATGAAATGGGGATAACCACGGTACAAAAACTAGACAGAATTGTTGCTAGAATAGGAGCTAAACAAGTCGGCTTTGTAACATCTGCCGAAAGAGGGACGCTGGTCACATTTTGCTTTGCTGTCAATGCCAGTGGAAAGTCAATCCCTTCCATATTCGTTTTTCCAAGAAAAAATTACAGGAACTATTTTGTAAATAATGGCACTCCTGGTTGCATTGGATCTGACAATCCATCTGACTTGATGACGGAAAACGATTTTTACATTTTCTTGGAACATTTTGTGAAGCATTCTCGAGCATCTAAAGAAAAACCTGTATTACTGCTATTAGACAACCACGATTCACACCTTTCGCTGAAAGGTAAAAACTTTTGTAGAGAAATGAAGTTGTAGTAATGTCCATGCCCCCACATTTCCATGCCCCCACATTTCCATGCCCCCACATTGCTCTCATAAACTCCAGCCACTAGATCGATCTGTCTATGGACCTCTTAAAAAATATATAAATACGGGTTACGATTCCTGGATGCGCAACAACTCGGGAAAGACAATGTCTATATATGACATACCGAAAATTGCAAAAGATGCTCTACCGTTGGCGACAACCCCGAAGAATATTCAGGCTGGATTTAAAGTAAGTGGACTATTCCCCGACAACAGAAAGATTTTCGGAGAACATGAGTTTCTTCCTGCTGCTATAACAGACCGTCTGAATCCAAATATTAAAGAGCCAGTACCAAACCAACCCGAAATCGTCTAAGAAGCAACCCCTCCAAATTCACCTTTTATAGTGAATTTACCTCCAGCATTACCCGATATAAACAAGAAAATAGACAACTCAGAACCTGATAATTTACCTGGACCTTCTAAAGTACAATCGTACTACTCCTCTTGAGATTTACGACCATCACCAAAAGCACCAAAAAGAACAAGCACCAGAAAAGGACGAAAGCGCGGGCGGTCTGCCATCTGCACTGACACACCGAATAAAGAAGAATTTCGGAAATGCATATGAAGAAAAGGAAATCAAAGAATTGAAGAAGAAAGCAAAGTCAGGCACAAAAAGAAACATTTGCAAAAACAAAATCAAAAACATACCTTCTAGCAGCTATGAAGATGAAGAGGTTTTTTGCCTTATTTGCGGTGAACCTTTTTCAAATTCCCGGACAAAAGAAAAATGGGTACAATGTACTGTGTTCTAACTGGGCTCA